AAAAATTCTGCTGCACGTACTCAGTCTCTCACCCGCTCCAATTTCATGTGGAGCTGAAACGTTGACCTTGGGACTCTCGACCTTTGATGCGGGAGAAGGTGATCTAGATTTATCTTGCTTCCTTGAAGAATTAAAGGGACCGAATCCTAATTATCAGGAACCTATTAAGCTCTCCAGCATCTGATGTGCAGCCGTCGTCGATCGAGGCGTTGTCTCCGTAGGAAAGCAGTGATGAGTACTAATTCATCAAAAGATCTTGGACTTGGATCTTTGCTAGATCTACCATACTACTGCTTGATGAGACAGCATGGGTGTAGTCAGCGGCGCGTTCATGATCTTTATTTTGGAGGATTTGCTATCTTGAGACTGGCGTCCAGAACTTAAAGAAGCTGTCTGCTTCCTCGAGGAATTTTTGAAGAGATGAATTCTTTGAGAGGAAGCGCAAAGCATGACTCGAGCCTTACGTCGCTCATCGAATGAAAGGGATGCTAGATGACCCAAAATTGACCAAATACGGCAAACTCATGTTGGCTCTCAACCATCACCTGGCCAAGCTGAATCTCCTCTCTTCTCAGTAGTTAACGACTTGTTCCCCCTCACCGACCATGCGTATGGCTACCTATGACTACTTGCAGATGACCATCGCTACAGGGTCATCTCCCTACATAAGTGGAGGATTGTCGGAATGCCCCTGAGCTGCCCCAGCCCACCTTCCTTTTTGCACTGTTTCTGCGTCGGAAATCTCGATGTTTTCACTTATGGTTTTTTCCTTGCTATCGGCTTTGCTGTCTCTCTCAGATGCCTCGTCTATTCCTAAATCCAAGTATGGTAGCTCTCAGCTTACTGACGGCATGTTAACTGGATACGACTAGAGCGACTGTATGCAATGGCAGAGCCGAGCTGTGCGAACGGCCCTATGGCAGCGTAACCTATCTGACAGCTCATAACTCTTTTGGAGCGAGCAAGGACATTTTTGCCTGTACGCTGGACTGTTTCTTGAGTCCTCTGTCTTGCATCTAAACCGATATTCTCAGTGGCACGGAATCAAGAGATAGATGTGTCTGCGCAGCTCCAAATGGGCGTAAGAGCTCTCCAAGGGCAAGCTCATCTGTTAGTCGTATACGAAACACTGCTTTCGTCTCACAAGCTAAAAATGTTGACAGGAAAGATGGAAACCTGCGGTTTTGCCATACAGGTGCGATGCTTTCTCATACGGGTCTCAGCTTATCTTAACAGATACCTCCAGATTGCGTAAGTCATTCATCTGCTAGTAAGCCATGTATCAACGGTCTGTAGGCTCTGTTTGATGGTGGATTGGTGGTGGACTATCTTAAGAAAGTCAAGGCTTTCCTAGACGTTAGCCCTAATGAGGTAGTGACACTCATTTTCACAAATCCCGACAAGCAATCAATTCCTGGGATGTGGCAACCTGCCTTTGACGGTGCTGGTACGTTCAAAGAGTCGGCTCGTTTTTGCTCAGTAAAGTTGAGGCCTTATCTAGGATTGACATCTCTTGCCTACGTTCCTCCATCCAGAACTATGAAGCGATCTGACTGGCCCACTCTCGGAGAACTAATCGACAGTCAAAAGCGGGTCGTTGTATTTCTGGATGAGGGCGCAGATGGAAGCGACGGAGGTTTCGTTGACTTTATCTTGCCTGAATTTCAAATGGTAATTGTCTTCGCTACATAACTTGAGTAAAATAGTGCTAATTGAATCATAAGATATGGGAAGATCCTTTTTCGCCTCAAAACAACACTTTTCCATGCAAGATCGATCGAACAGCAGGACCTCTTTCTGACAACGATCACATGTATCTTATCAACCACAATCTAAACCGTAACATCATTCCAATAGGCGATGGAGTTCTTCTCCCAGATTTTGCTAATGCAAAGAACACAAATAGTGCAAAGTCGTAAGTCAGGGTACGCCTCTCTTTCTCGCCCGCTAGCATGCTCAGGTATTCCTCTGTGTAGAATCCTAGCCCATGCCAGTAACTGTGCCCCGTTTGCTGAGGGCCGCGCACCAAATTTTGTCCTGCTGGATTTCGTCGACATTGGAGAGAGCATCAAAACTGTTAATCAGCTGAATGGTTTCTAAATAATTTTTGTCAGGCCAAAACGGCCTTTCTAAAGGAAGACTCCGATATCACTCTCTTCGCCCCCATTTGTTAGCCTCCAGATTCTCATTTGCACTCAAAGTTTCGCTCATTTACTGCAATGAAACCCCCTTTAGCTTCTGATAATCCTAAGGCCCTATTCATGGATGTTTCGTACACTCTTCCAGCCCTTCCTCAGCGTGTGGACTGAGATTTGCTCACCTGACGCGACCTGATGTGGCTCATTAACGCCATGAGGACATTTAAGTTCAAATAAACCTAACATCGAGGAGGCCAGTTACCTGTCGTCGCCTAGTTTCCGGCTTTTGAATAAATGTGAGCCCTCATCGTTGCTGGTCATGACCTCCTTTTGCCATGAAACAGGTCTTAAGACGTGCGGAAAAGTTGAGATTGGTCATGGTAGCCGTTGATACCAATCAATGAGCTCGAATCCGCCGATCAACCGATTTCATCTTAGACTCTTCAGTCGCCACTTGCTCACTTAGCACTTGTTATCTTGGCAGGATGATTCCTGTCCACAGCGCTAGTGGTTATTACATAAATGATGCATCGATTTCGGGCTGAGCGTGTTTCTCCCCAGCACTCAACTTCAACCGGTTCCTCCTTTGATTTCAAAATCTCAATGGCGAGGTTATCCCCTCTTTTGTGCACACTTTTGTTGGTGACTATTGCTTCGGTCTTGGGATTCACTGTACCCACCAAGATCAACTACACCTGGCCAAACCCACAATATGACGCTCTCGAGAAATTACTTTACGAGGGCACACGGCTAGATGGGCTAAGTCTGAGTGACTCCGTGTCTGGCTGCAAAAGTCGTGATGGACAAGAAGGCAGAGGAACTGGGAACGTCGCCGCTGAATGGGTTCGCTTTGTAAGAGGTACTTCAATTTGTTGGTTGAGCTCCAACTGATTTGGGCACCAGGCTTTTCATGATGCCATTACGCACAATATCGACGACGGCACTGGAGGCATTGATGGCTCTTTATTCCATGAGCTAGATAGAGATGAGGTGCGTTATCCAGGTATAACAGTTGACCTCGCTTGAACTTCTTAAACTAGAATCGCGGCCAAGGAATGAAAGATACCTCTGCTGATTTCCTAAAATTTGCGGGAAGATTTGTCTCCCGTAAGTAGTCAACTTTTTCATACGCCAACCATTCGTGACGAACCTACCGGACAGGAGCGGACATCGTGGCAATGGGCGCGATTTTTGGGATGTCTTCATGTGGAGGACAAAATATTCTCCCGTATGGGGGCGGTCGTGTGGATGCTCAGAAGGCTGGTCGTTGCGGAGTACCGGTTGTTGAACAGAGTGTGGATCAGTTTACGGAGGCCTTTCGTCACCTTGGGTTGAATTCATCTCAAGCAATTGCTCTCACCGTTTGTGGGCATGCCCTGGGGGGCGTTAGAAGCGTCGATTTCCCCAATATCGTACCACCGTCCTCTGACCCACACCAAGTGATCTACCGAAATTTTGATACAACGCCACAGTTCGATTCCCGGGTGTACGTCGCAAAGCTGACGGTCCTAAAGTGATCTCTCTAACAATCAAACAGTGTCACGGAATATTTGGATGGGACTACTCAAAACCCCCTCGTTGTCAATGCCAACCAAACCGTTACTTCAGACAAACGTTTATTCGAAAGTGACGGTGGAGCAGCTATGCGGGTGTGCGTTACTGGGTTGGGATCACAATATTTGATCAGTATGCTGACTCCATGAGCAGATTTCAAAATGCGGGAGATCGTGGCTTTAAGATTGCTTGCAGAGAAGCATACAGAGTAATGATCAACACAATTCCAGCTGGCGTCAGTCTTCATCAGATTGACATCCTTCCAGCGAAGGTCATTGAGCCTCAGATTACGATCGAGAATGGCGAGCTAATTTTCAAAGTGGACTTGCGTGTTCGTATATATCATCCTATTTCGTATCATCCATCCACTCACTCAATCATTTTAGTTAACTCAAAACTTGACACAACCGGTTCCTTTGGATCGAACTATTACCCTCAAGTGGTGCGATAAACGTGGCTCTCAGTCAGACTGTAATGGTCGCGTCAACACGGCTCAATTTGCAGCTCGATCCCAACCTACTCAAACACCTGTCACCGATCAACTTGGCCTCTCTTTCTACAGCTACGCTTTCCGTGTTGCAATTGACATTCAGACTTCAGTCGGCAAATTTTGGTTTGTCGTGGATAATAATGATGGCAATTCCCCTACCACATATAATAATGGAGGCGCCAACTACGACTTTCAGCAAGACAGTATCATCTTCCTTCCAAGGATGAGCCAGACTAAAAATGCGGGTAAGACACTCCATAAAATGGTTGTAGGTGTCCGTATTCCCCTCGTTTCGACTAGAGTATACATGAAGACCTACGAAGTGGCGAAAAGTAACACGGAGCAGCCTCAAGAAAAATCCACCACTCTCTCTTTGGATGGTACCATTCCCCCGCAAAAGGGTTATGCGTTTTTCTCTGGAGACGTGTCGGCGAATCTCTTGGGACTGACGATTGACATTGGCGTTGATACCCTCGACCAATCGTACAAAGAAGAATACCTTAATGCTAGGGTGCTTGGGTGTCAAGCTGGAATTATTGCCCCGACAACTGTTTCGACTGCCTAAAGCCTTTGGTTATTTCCATCGGATTTGTGATCCAGTGAACGAGTTTTACATCCATAAGTATAATCATTCTAATTTCATTGTATTCTAATTTCTCGCATGTAAAGAATCCTTATGTAGTAAAGTGTTGACATTTGAAATTGCTTTGCACATGCTTCATATTCCTTCTGATCGGTTGAGCAACAATGCTACAAAAAATTATTGCTACGAAAAACGCTCTACGATTGCCTGTCCATTTGACACTTTCTAGCTCTAAGGCAAGATGGCCGAGCGGTTAAGGCGTGTGACTCAAGCTTATGCTTGCCTACTTCAAGTGGGTTTAAAGTCTTCTCATAGGAGGTTTCCTGCGAGGGTTCGAGTCCCTCTCTTGTCAAATTTTTCTCCCCAGGAGCGCGTCGCGTCGCCTTCCGATCATGTGCTGCATGTGCTAAACTCGTTTAAGCTTCCTCACACTCTCGGACTCTCCCCATCATGAAGAAATAAGTTCCTCGCTTTCAGAATTCTGATTATCCTTCTGGGGTTTCCAGGTTTTAACAGATGCTTGTAAACAAGCAATTAGCTTAAACTTCACCGTGACCAAATGGTCCTGCCTTGTACGTACAGTCCTCATGCATTGTGCCATTGTTGGACTAAGAACAGGCAATCAGCAGCAGGCACTGGTTACTGCTGGATATTTCGGCTTTTTCTATTGACATAAATGCCTTCCTTGGACCAGGGTCTAACTCACCTCGACATCCTGCGACCATGAGTACCACCGCTCCTTCATCTTGTGTTCACGACGAAGAAATTCGTCCAGTAGGCGGCTTCAGGTTTAAGAGCGATGCATTATTATCTAATGAAAACATTTCAGGCTTGGAAGTGTGGTGAAGCCTACATACATATACCTACTGACGGATCTGGATCAACAAAATCGTCGAAGACGGATATGCACTGGAAATCGGTCACAGAGTACCTAGCAGCTAAAGAGGAAGCAAGATGCGATGCTTGGAAAGACGAAGTCCAGAATTTGTTAGTCTTCGTGAGTTTCTACTACAGGTATGATGGCTTCTCTTACGCTAAACCACCTGTATTTGCGATAGTCAGGTCTGTTTTCCGCTGTCGTGACTGGCCTCCTCGTGGAATCTCATAAGACACTCCGAGAGGACCCTGTTGAAGCCCTCTTAGCCAAGATCGCTTCAACACTTGTCAATGCCACCGACGTGACAACCTGTTTGACGCCTCAAGGCCTCGCTTGCTCATTTTCCGCGTCGCCTTCCAACAAACGCGTCAACGCGTTATGGTTTTTGAGCTTGGTTTTTAGTCTCGCGACAGCGCTTTTTGGCATCGTCTCCCTGCAGTGGTTGCGAGCGCATTTATTGCCATCAACGCAGAATGTCCCTCTTCGCGTTCTTCCGGCTTTCTTACACATGCAGTCGGATGCTATCGAACGATTCCATGTGACGGGAATCCTTACCGCACTTCCATTGCTCCTAATCATTGGCCTGGTCTTCTTCCTCGTCGGGATGATAGACTTCCTTTGGAATCTTAATCAAGAAGTTGCGATCCCTGTGGTGACCGCGATTACCCTGACATTTGCTTTTTTGATTTACACCACCATTCGCCCTGGTCTGCAGTCGTTCCCGATCCACATATCCTCAAGCGCCACGACGACTCCACGGTCGCCATGCCCCTACAAATCACCACAGTCATGGGCCTTCCTCAAGCTCTCCACCTCCGTGAAGGCTGGGTTTCGTGCTACGCTGCGGGGTATCCTTCGTGCTCTCGACATTTTTGCGAACGAAGATAGACGAGAGGAACTTGTTCATCGCTTTTTTGCCCGCCAAAGCGGTGAGCTGGGCGGCCAACTTGAAGATTGGATACAGTACGGAACACTGTGGCTACGCCAGCGCGATATCGACGCTCTCGTCGGTCACCATGACCCTCACAAACTCCTGCCGCATTTTTGCAATCCTCTTGCCACCTTCTCGCCCATTTATGACTGCACGCAAGCACTGCTCAAGGTCAAGGAAGACCTGACGGTGACAAGAAGCGACACTATCGGTCAACTTTACCAATGTTTTCAAGACTTCACGAATTTCAGTCATGGAAGTGAAAATCGATTTGCTTTTGAGCTCATCTCCTTCATTCATGATTGTCTTTTACCTGCGACGCCAATGAGTGGGGCCCTCCCTCGCGAACTTATCCGCGCAGCACCTCGACCCGAGATTATCAGTGATAACACGCGACTTCTCTTCATGCTCCACTCTACTTCTGACCTCGACTCTCGCGATCACTCTTTGACATTACACCATCTTGAACTATGCGTTCGTCTCACGCGATCGGTTTTAGGCTTCCTGCCGCTGGAAGTCAATGTCCAGAAGGGACTACATGTATTCCCCATCGACATTCTTCGTCATCATATCTCAAGAACCGAAATATCCCGTGCGTATTTGAGAGTTCATTTTCCAAGGCAATGACTCTTAATTATACTCTCTTAATGCAGCTACCTTTCGGAGCGCGGTCATTGACCAAGTTTTACAAATCCTCGAGGCGTTTTTCCGGACTATCATTGAATACAACCCTTCGGAAAGCGAGCTCGGACGAACCATGCAAACGTCAGAATCACCGACCTGGTTCATCATGGGCGCAGCCAGAGTTCTCGCACCTGATTATTCAAGAATACAAGCTCCTCACGACCGATTACTTTTCCTTATTTCCCGCCATCTCACACAAGCGAACAGCACGCTCGATTACCTCTTCCTTGCCGCATCCGTCTATGTACGCGAACTACTCTGCTGGCCGACATCCGAGCAATATCGACCCACTGATGAGTTCCGTGCACTACTGCAATCATTGAGGGACTACCAAAGTCGCTGTGAAGTGACCCACATCCTCAAGCTCCAAGAGTATATACTCCCTGAGACTTTGAGGGCGTTTTGGTCCTGGGAATTCCTGGATGAAGACTGTCCCGCCAGCCCCATCAGTATCCTGGAACAACGGACTTCTTTTTGCAGTTATCTCCCAGAGGATGTATCTAAAGCCGTCTCACAAAACCCTGCTTCCACAGGTACACAGGAGCGAAGTGACTTCGTCTTAGTTGGCTGCCCGCCGAAGAAACGGCAGATGAGCAAGTTCCAGCCAGTGGATCCGATGCAACTCGATGTTGAAGGTGGCGATGTGAACGCATCCGCGGCAGAGAGCAGACAGAGCGGCGGACTGTGGGGTGGCAAGGCAATTGTGGGTCGCACAATACCACAATCCGAAGTACCCAAGTCCAGTCTCGTTCAATCTAAAGAGATAGTTATTGATATAGGCGATTGATTTTTCCAGAGTATCATGATCACCTACTTAGGTCGAGTTCAAAGATATCTGGTGGTTCTAACTTAAACATATGTCTTTTCGTTTGCATTTCGTCATTGTATGTGTCTGTTTGGCATCAGCGTGGGCGCTGTGGTTCGCTCAACGTCACCAACGCACTCGAACAACTACGTTTTCTCGTCCGAAGAGTCTTTTTTTTTTCTGCCTTCCAAGTACAGAATATGCCAACCATTTTCAAGATTCTTTCCTTATCTCATTCTTCGGTCCATTTTTCTTTTGCTAGCGCTAACCATATGAATTCGTTCTATTTTGAGAAGAGCTTCGCCTGAGAAAACGCTGACCCGAAGTTGGAGTAGGTCCGTCCTACACTCTGTGCCATCATCATATCATAGTGTCATTTTTGGAGACTTTTTCAACTGCTGTCAAAGTTCAAGCTTGGTCGCTAGTAAAGCTCCGGTGGTCAATACCAACGCTACTCGGAAGGACCCTGTGACATCATGTCTTACTTTCCCTTATAAATCGAAAGCAGCCAGCAAGATCGTCAAGTCTCTTGGCCTTTGGATTGTTTCAAGGAACGAGGAGACCAAAAACTGGCGTATCTCACATACCTTTCAATCTCAACCTAATGCCTCTCTTCCACATGTAAGTGTAGTTTGGTTCGAGGTTTTGCATCACTGATCCCCTACTTTATCAGGCATGGCGCTCCAATTGGGAGCACAGCGATTATGCTCGCATTAGTTGCCTCTATGGGTGGCTTCATTTTTGGCTATGATACAGGCCAAATTTCAGACATTTTGCTGATGCAAGACTTTAAATTGCGCTTCGCCACCTGCAGTGACTACTCCAACGCTTCAACATGTGAATTCACGGTGGTCAGAGAAGGTCTTATCGTCGCGTTGCTTTCTATTGGTACTCTGTGTGGTGCCCTCTTGGGTGCTCCGTACGTTGTCCTTTTATCTGAAAATACTCCACGCTGACTGTTACTTTAGCACCGCAGATAGGATTGGTCGCCGCTACGCCATGGTATCGGAATGCTTTTTGTTCTGCATCGGAGTCATCATCCAGATTACCTCGATGCATGTATGGCAACAGTTCGCTGTTGGTCGTCTGATATCTGGTCTGGCGGTAGGAGGTCTTAGTGCAGCCGTTCCTATGGTGTGTTGGATTCCAATTGTGTAGTGCCGCAGTCTACTTATTTCTCTCTAGTATCAAGCAGAAACCGCACCAACGCAGATCCGTGGCACTTTAACGGCAACTTATCAGTTATTCATCACTCTTGGTATTCTGGTCGCCTGTGGGTTTACTCAAAATATCTGTTCACTTAACACATCTGATTAAGTCTATCAGATTGTATCTCTATTGGCGCACGTGAATTGTCTGGCGCCTCTTCATGGCGCCTAGTGGTTGGCATTGGATTGATTTGGCCAGCCATGTTGTCTTTCGGGATCTTGTTCATGCCCGAATCTCCTCGGTAGGTAGCTCCCTCGTTTTGATGACTTTCCCTGACCGGTTACAGATGGCTTTGTGCCCACAATCGCCCTAAAGAGGCTGAAGTCTCTATCGCCCGGGCCTATGGTATTGATCGTTCTGACGAATCAGCTATGCGCGTCGTTCGTGAGGAAGTCAAGGGCATCATGAGTCAAATTGAATTCGAGCGCGCTGTTCGGGCTGGTTGGTTAGATTGCTTCCGCCCACAACACAAGACATTGTACAGGACACTTCTTGGAATGTCGCTGCAGAGCTTCCAACAACTTACTGGGGCCAACTACTTCTTTTACTACGGCGCTTCGATCTTCCAGAGCGTTGGTATTCAAGACAGCTTCATCACACAAATTATCCTTGGTGCCGTCAACTTTGTATGCACTTTCGGAGGGTTGTACATCATGGAGCGGGTGCGTTCATATTTTCTCAATCACTTTTTCTAATGCTAAAGATCAAAACAGTATGGCCGACGTAAGCCGCTCATTATTGGAGGGATTTGGCAATCATTATGGCTCTTTGTCTTCGCTTCCGCGGGTACTGCCAAAGATCCTTCCACAAATCCTGGAATTGGGAAACGTAGGCCTTATTTCGCTG